AAGATACTATTAAATATTCCCAACGATTAGCATCAATGATATAAATATCATGATTATCATGACTTATGAATGTTAAACTTTTTAAATTTGGTGTTTGTTTTACAAACATTTCAAAGTTCTCGAACTTTTCGTTAAATTGACCAATAATTAATTGTTTTAGATGACAACTATATTGATAATTTGATAATATGTTAAGATTCTTTTCACGACAACGATCAATAGATTTAATGTGTAAATAGTTTAACATAGGAAGGTTATTAAAAAGACATTCAGAATCTTTTAAATAAAATTTTAAAATCGTTAAACTGATGATTGATGTTTGATGAATATTTGATCTAAGTGAAACCAAATTTAAGATAGATAATGTTCGTAATTGAGATAATGGTAGATCACTTTGTTTGATTTTAAGATGTATCTGCTCATCATCATTTTTCGGTCGAGGACGATATTCATATATATCATAATTATATGCGAAATAATCTTCTTCATCTCCTAATAATGGATATATCGATATAAATCTTTGAAGATTTGGAAATTTATTTGGTGGAAAAGATGAGAAAAATAAATTGCATTGAAAACATTGATCATCATTTAATATTTCGATTGAATAGATTTGATTTCGAATATTTGAATCGATCAACATTTTTGCACAAAATTTATCAAATATTGTTTTATTAACATCTTCGAAGTTAATATAAAGTCGAACATTACGAATAAGATTATTCAAACGAGAGTTTAACCCATCAAATGAATAAAACAGATCGAATGCATTCAAATATTTAAAGCATTCAATAAGAGTTTCATTGGGTAAGAATTCGAATATCATTCTCTGTTCTATTTCACTCATTGTTAAGACTAAATGAAAACATCCAAACAACGTGTATTTGTTTTTATATAAAAAGATATCTTTATCTCACGTCTCATATTTATCAGTGATGTCTTATCCAAAATGAATTGTTGTTTTAGAATGATTCATTGTTGGGTTCTTCCTTCTGACGTCAAAGATATATTAGAGGAATAATCCAGAAAAAATGCAATCAGTTGAGGGTGTGAGGTGAGTTTAAACAAAGATTTACCACGACGCGTATTCACTGAATCTCACAGCCTCATCAGGCATCTTATAACTCTGCATTGAAGAAAATTCTAATGAAAACAAGTAAAAAGCAAATAAAAATGATTAATATTTACACATTAAATCTATTGATCTTTGTCATGAAAAGAATCTTAACATATTATCAAATCATCAATATAGTTGTCATCTAAAACAATTATTTATTGGTCAATTTAACGAAAAGTTCGAGAACTTTGAAATGTTTGTAAAACAAACACCAAATTTAAAAAGTTTAACGTTCATAAGTCATGATAATCATGATATTTATATCATTGATGCTAATCGTTGGGAATATTTAATAGTATCTTCAATACCTAAGTTATATTAAGTTATATGCCCCTCACCCTCACCACCCTCACACTCGCAAAAAATTGTCCCTAATTCTGCGTCTTCGAATAAAATACATAGAAAAATGGAACTTTTCGGAAAAAAGTATTTTTTGATGTTAAACGGTCAAAACTCAAAAGGAAGAACCTATGTGGACGAATCTTTCTTCTGGCTCAGATGCACTTTTATTAGATCCACTTTCGTCAGATCCACTTTCACGAGATCCACTTTCATCTGTTATCTTTAAAGTAGATAATTTTGGTAAATTCTCAATAATAACGAATAATTCTTTTGTATCATAAATCGTACATTGTAAATGTTCAATATTAGGAAACATTTTACAAAAGTCTTTCATTTTGAAAGAGCTGTCAATACTATTGTTGTATTTGTATTTGGCGAAATTGAAGTTTTCGCGCGTATCGGTACATTTACATGAACATCCTATCAGAAAAGATCATCCTCAATGAAGAAGTAACGGTAGCTCTAAATCCCGCAAATCTTTTGCAAAAGTTCAATCAGATGATGAACTAATCGTTCTTGCATGTGCTGATTACAACCTTAATTGTCCATTAAATATTCATCGAATATGCAGAAGAAAAATAATTTTTGATCATGTTCGACATTTCTAAATCCAAATTAAAAGTCTCGTAAACCTACATGTAAAACAGTTTCTGCATAAAGCCTTTCATTCATCAAGAAATCGCCGACAAGTTTCCCTAAAGTCATTCAAGAAAAGTTGGACTTATCCGGTTAGAACGAAATAAACATCAGTCGAACATTCATTTTACATTTATTTATTCAACCTTCATATGATTACATTTCTGAATGTATAAACTGTTTTATGTAGAGTTGTCAAAAAGTTGCTTATGAGCATCTACCATATAACCCAGCACACCAGTTTGAACAACAATCTTTATGATAAAAACAAGGCGAGCCTGATGTAGAGCACCAACCAAAAGCTCTTCCACTGTCCGCCATTTTCTCTAGATGATTTACTTCTTGTAAAAATGCATGGTTAACTTCAAAGAGAGCAAATATCATCGCTATAAATATACACCAGCCCAGGTAATGCATTATATATTCTATTTAACAATTGAGAATGATGTGGAATGCGTATTTCGATATAGAAAACCTAAATAAAAATGACTACTCTACAATAGTGCGCCTTTCTCATGTATAGAATAGCTTTACTTACGTGTTTCTTCTACTTGGAATGAATTATCGACTTTGATTGACACATATTCACTTCCACCTTTATATAATTATTCGTGCATTATGAGATAGAAAACACGTGTTACAGAATATTTCGCAGAAAGTTCTATAATGACAGGTATTTCCTCATAGTGACACACAAAAACGGTCCCATGTAAAGGGTGAAATACGCTATGTTATGGCAGCGGTTGACTGTGGCTCAGCGTGGAACCAAAATTGACTGTCTCGATTTTGATATACTATGGATAGTGTCAATTCCAGAAAAGGGCATTTTTTTTAGAGGATGGGGTAGGTTTTGTGCAAGAACATGCTCCTCTATACTTTCGGTGACATGGGATCTTTCTCAAATTGAATGCTGTTTAATGAAACAATGGGTAGTAGGTAGTTAATATAGCTGATAATTTTGAATGGCTAATTGGCGATGAACAGCGTAAAGTCAAATATTATACATCATTTAAACACTTGGAATTGATTAGTCGGTTATAATCACTCGCTCTTTCAGTTCTTTCACATGAAAAGTCCGGAGGATATGTCGTTTTCCTTTCGTGAAAAATACATCGTTTTTTTGTACGTATAGAGGAAATCGACACTAGCTCTGTAATCCCGAACACGCATGAAAGCTCAGCATCATCCAATCATAATCGAAATTTATTTTTAATGAAGATTTATAATTCTATTTTAGAACAATTAAACCCACATCACGTACAATTTCAATCATTGCGGAGGATAGTTTACTATAATTTCTAAAATTTATGAGTTTATTGTAGAGTGTGAGGATTATTTCAATATTATAAATAGTAATATCAGGTGATAATAATGTAACCGTAGGCGTTGTAATTTATCGAAGTAAATGAGAATTTGACTTAAATTTACTTTTGTAAATTCTAACTGTAAATCAATTCTAAACATTTAATCTTATTGCAAAATGCTGGCGCATTACCCATGACGGCATTTTCGATAAATTTATCGCGATGAATGATACTTTTATCCACCCGTGACCGATTTTTCTAGTATTTATCTAAAGGAAAAATTCATCGCGATAAAGAACTTTTTCATCGCAGAAATCTCTTTTATCGCGATACCTGTCGATAAATATATCATATTATAATGTCCTATGATTTATCGCGGTGAATTTTTCCTTTCGATAAATAGTAGAAAAATCGGTGACGGGTGGATAAAAGTATCATTTATCGCGATAAATTTTATGTTAATAACATGAATAACATTAAGCGCCGTCTTGGTTACCGTCGACGGCAACCAACGGAAGAACAGCCGTCCTTAGATTTCGGTCCGAAAATTCTGCAAACTATATGGCCTGATAGAGCCAAGATTTCTGAACCAAATAAGACATCTGCCAGCATTCTGCAGTGCTTTTTCAGCGGAATATTTCGGTGACTTTCACGCCCTTTGTAGCTAATGGTAAATCGACTGCAGTTACGTGAAAGAGGACTACAGAATGCCACGAGATGTCTTATTTTGTTTAGAATTAGACGTTCATAATAATTACCACATCGATCAAAGTGTTGCATTAGCTGGAGGTGAGAAAACAAATTCGAAGAGAAATGGAGTATACTACCGAT